CCCGTATCTCCTATTAATGTACAGCTAAGACAAACTCAGCAAGAATACCAAGAAAGACACTGGGACACATCATAAACCGCCCTGGCAGAAATCAGGATCCTCCTGCTGGCTGGAAATGCAGCTCTGCTGCTTTACATCAGCAGATGGCTTACCTGTGGCTCTTAATGGTTAATATATAACTGCAGCAACAACAACAACAAAAAAAGCCCCAGCATTAATACATAATTTGTCAGAGGCAATATGCTAAAACAGCCTTTCCATATTCAACTCAAGCAGTGAGATAAGCCTCACCTGCAGCCCTGCCCCATGGGCTGAGCAGCAGCTCTGGAATGAACGCTGGTGGAAGACATCAGAGAACAGATCCCATTCATATCACACTATTTGTTCATTTTTCACTTTTTTCCCCCCCCACTTTATCAACAGATTTCCAAGAAGGACATTCTGAACACACATTTCCCTCACGCACTCATGGCATACTTTGTGCTGATTGCTCCAAGTGCTTTCCAACCTTGAGGATTCCCAGCAGACCAGCGTCCCTTTGGCTCACACTGGACAGATGAGGCCCCAAATTCCTACAGAGCCAAACGGGGCCCTAAACGCAGAGCCCTGCGACCCAGCAATCCCTGATCTGGCTGTCTCATTGAGGTACCCAAAAATATCTGCCTGCAGCCCAGCTGAGAACTGCTCTGGGATCTGGCAAGGATAGGAAGAAATGCTGTCAGATGGTTAAAAGGAATCAGGAGATCTGGCTTCTCCTCCCAGCTCTGCTTCTGAGTCATTATTAGCATAAAATCAGGTTTGTTATATCACTGACGCTTGAGTAAATAAACCAAGACTCATCACTGTGTTTTTGTTTTGCAATACCTCAGTGGGCTCCTCTCTACAAATAAACACTATTAACACTCATTGCGACGGCAGGCAGATGAGGAAGGAGAGCGATAAAAGCACCTAAGACATCTGAAACCTCCATGAAGAGCAGCAGGGTGAAGTCACAGCTGTTTGAAGATACCAACTTCCACAGAACAGGCATTTGAAAAGGCAACTCCTTCCTGGGGGACAAAGCAACAAGTCGCACCCACAGGTACGACTGAGCCGATGGGAAAGAGACTGAGAACATCATGATCCTCTTCTGAGGAACCAAAGGTGAAATCTTGACTCCGACAAATCAAAACTCATGCTTGCTTTCACAACACCATTATTTAATCTCCCTAAAGTTGGGGTGTGAAGGCAAGAAGCCTTGAGAAGGAGATGGCCATCTTCATCAGCAACAGCTACAGAACACCAGAACAGCACAGAGCTGAATGACCAGAGGTAGCAATGAAAGCAAAGCCTGAATGTAGGAAGACCTGGCTCAGTCCCACCTCCTCTGGCACGGAGCACCTTTCTTCCATCTGCATTTTTGGGGCAGCACGGCTTGCTGTGTGACAGGCTGCCAGCCCTCACTTAAGCACCGGCCTTCTTTAGGGCTAAGCTGCTGCATGCACCCACACACGTGAGCTCCACCGGCCAAGGGACGAGCCCTGCCCAGCTGGCTCCTTGCTGCAGGACCTCTTCACCTGCTGCACAGCCATCATGTGCACTACTGGAAGTGCAAACCCAGGCCCTGCCCTCAACCTCTGGGCCTTTTCAACTCACACAGATGCACGTGCCAGACCCACCCTCTGTCTGCAGGCTGCACCAGGCTCACCATCACCTTAGAGAGAAGTGAGCTAAGGAGCACCAGGATCAGGCCTCCGTCCCGCGGCCAGGACAGCCCCATGGGCACACTGCCCTCCTTCCACTTCCCCCCTTCCGCTTCCCACAGCCGCCAACCAAACATCTGATCGAAGGCCCGGGGGAGAGAGTCAGAACTGTCCAGTCTGGTTACAAGTGAAGGTCATTGATCTAGTGCAGACCAGGGATGCGGAAAACAGGGAGGGAGGAGAAAACCCTCAGAGGGAGCAGAGAGAGAGAGGCAGAGCAGAGCGTGCGCAGGGAGGGGCGGCGGAAGTGGCTGAAGCGCGGTTTCACACTCCCAGACCCAAGGGCTGTTGTCAACCCGTCCTTCACGCTCACATCTTGTCACACTAGAGGTCAGGTCTCCCAAGCGTTCCTGGAGAGCTGAGCTAGCCCATATGGCAGGCAATATGTTAACAATATGGATCAGCTGCTCGTCAGGGCCCGAGCAGATGGATGTGACAACCCCGCTCCGAGCCCAGGCAGGCTTTGAGCATCCTCCCTCTCCACCTCACTGCAGAGCTCTGCCCAGGAACTGCTGCCCGCAGCCCCACAGCCCTGCAGGACGGGCACGGCGCTGGTCACGCTGCCATGGACAGGGCCCGGCTCGGGCTCCTCAGAACCGAAGGGCTTCGCCACAGCAGACCTGGGCGACCAGCTCGCATGCAGAGCGCTGCGGCAGATACTGCGCTCAGATACGGGGATGTGGCATGTTACCACCAGATGCCACACGTTGCAGTCTAGACTGAGTTTTGTAACTGCCTGGGAAAATTCTCTCTCACAGAACGAGTAATACATAAATAGATGTATATTTTAATGGGCAAGCTAAACTCCTCCTGGCAAAGGCAGGCGAGCTGATTTCATACACAGGCAGGTAAATTTCCACAATGATTTTGCAAGGCTGTTTCGTATTCCCCAACCCGGCTCCGAGGAAGGCAGCGCTCCCACCTCCCAGATCCCAGCACAGCAACCCCTACATTTACATCTGCTACCGAAATGAAGCACGGGGAAGCACCTTGCCAATTCAAACTGGTATTTCTAATCATTTTTTCCATGGATTTTTCTATGTTTTTATTCTGCAGATAAGACTACGCTATCAAGTGAACAAGCAAAAATCCCTCCCAACCCTTCTAGCTGTAGGACTGAGCAGCCAAGTGCGTTTATAAAAAAAGAAAGTGAAACAGCAAGCACAGCCTAGGGATGGGCTCTGGAGAACACGCACACAGCCTCCATAGCCCAAAGAGCTTGTTTTGAAAGTAGAAGCCATAAAACTTGCTCCAGGGCTGCAGAGAGGAACACAGGGATTTCTGGTCCAGAGCATGAGCGAACACAAAGCCACACGCCTGAGAGGCTCAGAGTATATCTCTTCACTGAAGTGATGCCTGCAGAACTAGGGGAACCTCGTGAAACAGCTGGAGATCAGGGAAATGTTTCTGTTGCCTTTAATGAACTGCTGTCTCCCAGAAAGCAGCCCCTGAAGGACATGACTGCATACAGACACAGCATCCTGCAGCTTTAGGAATTCCTGATGCTATGTCCTGCAGTTGCCTTGTCTCAGAGGCACTGCTCATCCCAGGGCTCTCAATACCACAAAGCTATGCCAGCAGAAAGCAGCAAGGAAGGCCATAGGACAAGCTCCCTCCAACAGGAAAATAAACCCTAGCCCATACAGCAGCTTCCTCATCAGCTTTTCCCCTTTTCCTCCTGGATACAAGGTCCCTCGGAAGGGTTACATAGGGATGTATAACAGAAAGCTCACCTGCTGTACTCAAATTTGAGAGTTCATATCTTAGTTCTTAAAACGTCAAGGATCCTGACAGGCCAGCACCCTACTCCCTTGGGCAGAGCTCCAATTTGGGAAGCTCCTGTCACACCAGAGGCCTGGCAGGACGCATGCCAGTGCTCTAAAAGGGGACAAGCACTAGAGTGGCTCACAGGGATAAAAGCCAGAGTTCTCTACATTAATAGTTCAAAATCAAGCTGTCCAAATAAAGCATGCCAGACCCTGGAGGAGTTTCAGCACAAGGAAGGTGTGGAAAGGCACAACTCGCCCATCTCCCATCCAGTGGCACACTTTATTTTCAGGCAGGTTTGCTGAAAGCACTCAGTTCTGTAGGCTCTGAGCACGTGGCAGGCACTAAGCCCTGCTGAGCCTTAGAGGATCATGGCTGTTGCTCTTTATGATAGGACACTCAGAAGATGAGCAAATACCCCATGTTGCATACAGGATGGACAGGGACAGTGAAGGCCCAGGTCAACATCTCAGCCCCGTGACTTTTCTCCTCTTCCTTTGTGCTAAGCCAATACAGCTCCTCCATCTTGATCCTTCCAGCTCAGGTCTCAGCCTTATCTGTGACTCACAGAAGCTCTGGCCACACTGCATTGCTCAGTTATCATGTACGGCACAGCAGAAAAATCAGAGCAACACAACCATACACATTCTCCACTTTGGGTTGAAGAGCTTCACTGAAACGTCACCATCCGTAATGGACACAATACAGAAACAGCCCCTAACATTACTGCAAACAGATCACAGAACGCTTTGGGTTGAAAGCAATCTTAAAGATCCTTAGATCAGACACAACATCACACGCGGCCCAGGCACTGCCAGGATGCTCAGCCCCTTCCATCTGCAGTAGCGTGGCAGCACCACCAGGCAACACCCAGATCCTCAAAGCATTGGGAAAAGTTACATTACTCTCTACTATTATCTTGTAACAGCTTTCTTCCAAGCCATGCTTTGCCATACCTTTCTTTGTAGAGAAGCTGCTACAGGAGCCAAGCAGTAAAGAAGGTAAAAAAGCTTTTAGAAACAAAGTTCCACCCCCACAAAACTCTTCTGAATTTCCCACCGTGACCACAGAAGCCCTCAAACTCCTCTTCTTCTGTGTGACAAGTCAATCGGAAACCGCCCCACACGATACTTACCCAGGGGACTCCTGTGGCAGCCCAGCAACACCGCTCTGCTAATTGCCAGCACTGCCAGCAGCTTGCGTGGAAGAAGCTGGCTATGGGAGGCAGTTACTGGGACCACTGTGTTGCTGGGTCAAGTGGGTTCCTACGTCCATGCAGAAACAAGCAGCGAGGCCAAGGGCTACTTGTAAGGCAGCTCAAGCCAAACCAACCCCACCCATGATAATACATCTCTGACCCAAATAATGACTTTCAGCATTTCGTCCAAACTTCATAGGCCAGAGGTTTCTCGGTACTCGAGTGGAGGCTCTGGAGAGCAAAAACCACTCCAGCCCTACTTCAGAGAAGTGAGATCGATCAGAATTCAGTACCTTGCATTGAGAAGTCACAGGCTTCAAGGTCCATTCCAGTGTACAAAGTGGGGCGAGAAGTCAGGATCTTTGTTTCGGAGGCAATCTCGGGTGAAGACAAGGAATTTGATGGCTTCTCTTCACTCGGTGAAGTCTCTTTGCCCTGAGGAGAGATTCAAAAAGGAAATGAATATTCCCTACCGAGCAGTACCAGAGCTCAGGTGAATCACAAGCACAAGCAATGACGCTGCCCTCAAATGCCACAGCCACCCACAGATCTCAGCCCTCGGCTCTCGCAGCGCCCAGCAAGGCAAGGTGCTGCACACCCTGCCCAACATCGCATCCCACTGCTCATCCCAAGCGCGCCGCCGGCAGCTCAGAGACCAAAGCACCGACCCCTGGGTGACCATCTGAGGACCACCCGGTGGGCCAGGCGCTCCAACTTTCCCAGAGAAAAATCCAGGTCAAGCAGTGGCGGCAGCAGCCTGCAGTGCTAAGCCACTTACGGAAAGCTGCCCCCAGCCAGCCCAGCATCGCGGCACACGTGAGACCACGGCGCATCGCTGCTCGTGGGAGATCGGCGCTCACATCACAGTCGTGGGCAGCACAGAGCTCGGCTCCCCAGCCCCTGCCACCTTACAGACAGAACCGCACCAGACAAAGGAAGAATTATTATTTCCAGTTTAGCAAGGTACACGCTAATTAAGTGACTTGTCAAAGGTCACTTGGCGAATCCGAGGCAGAGCTGGGATCCAAACAAAACCTCACTGATTTCAGTCCAACAGCAGGCCACCACAAGTCCGTCTTCATAGTCTCCTCAGATGCGTGCTTCCACCTCTGCAGCAAGTTTCACCCCTCTCCCCACTCTCCCCACACAGTTAAGACACTTCCCTTTCATTTCCTGCATCGGAGGAAATGGATAAATACACAGATTGAAAGAACAAGAACCTTTACCTCACTTCCAAACTCAAACCGTGCCGTAGCTCCGACATGAGACAGGAGCTTCAGACTATTCTGGGAGGTGGGATTGCTGGACAGGAGGATTTGGGTGATGTTTGTGTTGTGTTGGTTGTGGTTTTTTTTTTTTTTTTGTTTCGTTTTGTTTTAAAAAGTTTCCATCAGACAAAAATAAAAGAGGCAAAACAAAAGAGGGTTGTGAGATCAATCCATGATAGGTGCCGGGCCAAAGAAAATGGAGCCAAAGGAGTCAGCACCCTGTAACCAGCAACCTTTGTGTCAATTTAAGCAAATATTGTGGCGTTTCCATGGCAATCCCTGTTTTGAATATCCACTACACTCACTTTTTAAAGGGCTTTTCCTGTTTGCGTTTCAACTTCAAAACCTGTAAATATTTTCAGCCTTAACAGATCCCTACCTCCCCCAGCGTCTGAAAGGAGATACAGTCGGAGCCAACACGAAGCCCTCAGCCTGCAGCCCCCAGAGCAGTGGAAGCTCCCAGCAGAAGCAGGCTGGCAGCATCAGGGCCAGAGCCCCGTCCTGCTCACCACAGCAGCTCCAGGAAACCACCTCCTGCTTTTCCAAACCAGCAATGGAAACACAGCCCTGCACACGCACAGCACTGACAGCACGGGTCTGAAGCACGCTGCAGGTGTGCACGAACCTCTGCTGCCTCGCCAGCTACAGCCACCTCTGCTCCAACTCCTCCCCGTGATCCAGGGCCCGGGCTGCCCTGCATCCAAGCAACCCAACGTCAGCAGTCACAGTGATTTATGCCACACCGCGCCATATGCAAGCAGGAATGGAGAAGTCAACTTTGTCCTCACTTGCAGCTTGGGATTGGGTGTGAGTCCTCCAGCAGCAGCTCGCAGGATGTCTGCCCTATCACCCTGTGCTTGCTCCACCACTGCATAGCCCACAGCGAAAGCCCTGCTGGGATGAGCCTGCCTGGCTATCACCTGCCAGAGCTGCACCCAGCTGCTGACCCTGTGCAGGAGCCCAGCACACAGAGCTCCGGCCCCTCCTGCTGCTGTGGGAGCGCACTGGTTAATTTGGAGTTTCCTGGCTGAGATGGATGGGTGCCAGGCCTCAAATGTTGGCTTAGTGTAATTTTTGGGAAATCAATTTCCTTTGTTGTTTTTTTTTTTTTTTTTTGCTTTGCTTTTTTTTTTTAAAAAGTTTTTTTTTTTTTTTTTTCTCTCCCTCTTAATTTAAATGGAAAAGTCAGATTATTTGAGTGAGTGCCAGCGCAGGACCATCCATCCCAGCAGGTACTGCAGTGTGCATACAGAACCACACAAACACAGCGACCCAGAGCCACTACGTCAAGTGCCACCGGAGCAGCACCAACCACATCACTGCTCCTCCTGCACAGCCAGCTGACACCGCAGGCAGCTGATGCACGATACCTGCCACCCTGGCCCATCTCCAGCTCAGGTAATTACATCCCACAGCAGTTTCAGCTGGATATTTTATCCCTTCTTCACTTCCGGCCCCAAACGGCTGCACCGGGCGTTGCTAAAGCACCGTCCAGATCCACCCCGGATGTGAGTGCGTGGAGGGAATTCAGCACATCCCAGCGCAGAGCCCGCTGCGCAGCAAACAACCTCCTCTGCTCACACACAGGGACAAACTCTTCTCACATATCCCATAATATTCCCAAGAACGACATGCAGAGCTGAGAAAACAGCCCTGGCACGGCACGCCGGGGAGCTGCTGCTTCAGGCTGAACGTCACCTGGCGCACGGGCATCAGGCTGGAACAGATATTCACCGTGCAGCCACCAGCAAGCTGGGAGAAATTAAACCTCTGGGGTGAGGCTGACAGCACAGCCCATTCTACAGACAGCATGGTGCCACCAGCCCCACAGGTGAGGACATGGGTCCTTCCTTGCCATGCTGCATCTTGGCTTTGCCCACGGCCACCCAACACATAAGGGAACAGCCCCCTGCCAGGACAGCACTGAGGGCCCCACGCTCGTCATCAAGTTCCATCAGAGTTCTGTGTCCTCGGCCGTCTCCTTTCAGAATGTTACGGAGCAGATCCTCACCCAATGTAAAATCAGTGCAGTTTCATTGGCTTCAGTGAAGTCATGCCAACTTACACAAGTTGAAGATCCGTCCCTCTGAGTTACTGGAGCTGCCAGTTCTTCCTTTGGATAATCCCCAGGGTGATTTCATGGCAAGCAGCAGCACAGGCCCAGCCAGCCGGGCAGGCTCAGCTGCACTCCCCTACCAGGAGCAGGGCTGGTGGGCAGATCATCCACTGCTCCTACCAGAACCCAGAGTGAGTTCCTCCAGCCTTTAGATGTTGGTTTTCTCCCACCTCTACTCCAAGGAATCACGCAATTACAGAATCAAAGCTCAAAACGGCCACTAAGATCATCTAGTCCAACGTCAACCCATTCCTACCATTCCCACTATCCGTGTCCCTCAGTGCCACACCTTCAGGGATGGGGACTCCACCTGTCCCAAGGAAGAGTGCCCATGGTGGTGCAGACACAACCCCATGGACCCCAACCCCACTCCCTGCACCACGGCTGCTGCGTGCACAGGAGCACAGCACAGCTTCAGCACAAGAACTTTCTGTGCTCCACCCTCACAAGTCCTTCACGATCCCCCCTGAGCAATTTTCTAGGCAACAGCGCGGTTGCATTCCCTTCCCTATCTCCTAATAAATATCATGCTAAGCAAGATGAGTATCTTCTTCCCAGACCAAGCGGCATGACCCACTTTCTGAATCAGGGCAGATGCAATTGGGCCCTGGAGTCCTGGACCCCTCCCAAAGCAGGAGATTTTGTAACAATTACAGCAAGAAACAGAAGGAATAGAAAAGTAATAAGTGATCAAAGAGCGTGGGGTAATTATTGCTCCTCGCCATCCTACACGCTGGCATTTTCCTGGGACACTGAAGCAACAGCCCCATGCACATCCACACACCTCTCCTCCACTGCCCTACATTCCTCAAAAGTAACAGGCCCCACACCACGGGTCGTGGCTCAAGCTGGGACAGACGCTGTACCCTGACCCCACACACCAATCCCAACCTCTCTCCTCTCCTTTTCCCCTCCCCAGCGCCAAGGAGGAGCACAGGTCCAAACCCACCAGCACGAGCCCACCTCAAATGGCATTCTCCTGGTCTCAGCAGCTCCATTTGGCCGAGGAGCAGCTCCACATCTTCCCAGAGGTGGCTGCATGTGCTCAGACTCTGACCCAGTGGGCATGGAGACAATTACCGAGAGGTGGAGAAAACGTCAGCAGCGCTTTCACTGCTGGAACCCACAAATAAAACATCCCTCCCACGGGAGCACAGGGCTCAAGGGCCAAAAGCACATAGAAAACTCTATGGCAAAGAGGTCCCATATGTCCAAACCGGCCCTGCCCTGAGCTCAGCCACGGGGCACAGCCTCACATCTCTGGGCATGGCCACCTGCCCAGAGCAAAGGGCCCACAGCCCAAAGGGATGAGCCCCTGAGCCATGGATGTACGTGCTCCATTCACTGCCACAGCAGTGCCCACTACAGCCACCTTCCTTGGCCGACACAGCGACATGTTGAAGGCATTCACAGCCGTTCTGCTTCAGTTAAATAAAAGAACTTCAGACAAAAACAGAAAAAGCCTTTCACCCAAAATTCAGAGATAAAAAAAAAAAGGGGGGGGGGGGGAAGAAATCTTCATCTTAATTCAAAAATCCTATTCGATGTGTCGTGGCACGAAAATGTTTTTCACTGCATTTTTTCAGTGTGATCTCATGCACCCTGCAACCAGGGTACGCCCAAAACACCAGGTATTTTATGGGACACAAACAGAGCGCAAACATACACAATTAAAAAAAAAAAAAAAAAAGGGATTGGTAAATATTTAAATTAATCAGAGCTGGCATCTGTGCAGCCTCCCCTCCCTGAGAGAGGGATGTTTGCAGCTCTGAAAACAGAAAAGTGAATGGTGTGACCTTTCCCTTGGTGCTCGCTGGGCAGCGCGGGCACCTCCTGGCTGCCACGCAGCAGCGGGGCTGGGGGTCAGGGCAGCCCCCAGTGGGACAGGGCTGCTCTGAGCTGTGTGCTGCCTGCTCTGAAATGTGAAGGGTTTCATTGGTTTCTTTTACTTCTTTTCAGTTTAATTGTTGGAGGAGTTGATGAAGCTGTTTGCCAAAACACAATCGACTCCAGGGAGCCAGCTTACACAAAAAGGGTGTGCCGGCAGCCGGGCCGGGCAGCCATGGAAACCACCAGCACCTTTTTGCATTTGCCCAGGTGAAGGCAGAGCTCTGCGGATGGCTTTGTGCAATCGGCAGAGCTGCAAGGAAGTGTGCAAGCAAAGGGCCTGGAGCAGCACACGCACGTTGCCCAATGGCGGGGTCACAGCGCGAGCCCCCAGGCACACCTGCCCCCCCCCAGGTGGTTGGGGCAGCTTGCCCCACGAGGGCGGGCGGCACACAGGCCCTGCCGGCATTCCAATCAGCCCTCAAAAAGAAAACAGAGAATTCCTCAGAAGCAGTGGCTGCAGAGAGCAATACGGGGCAGCCGGTGCCATCCAGCTGCTCCCAGTGCCAGCCCCTCCTGCTGCAGGGAGAGTTGCTCCGAGCTCTGCGGATGGGAGATCAGCCCGCCGGCTGCTGAGGACAGCACGGCATTAAAGGCAGTCTGGGTGATGGGGTTTCACCCTCCCTGCCAGGATGCACAGAAGTGAGCAGAGAACACAACACTCCAGCAGAGGAGCACAGGGCTCTGTACAACCTGGAAAGGATCATCCAGCACAGACAGCCCCAGGAACAGCTCAGGCTCACCCTGAAAATCGGCGGGTCAGGGCAGGCAGGGAGACACAACTCTCCTCCTGTGGTTCGACTTCATGAAAATCTGATCTCGGCCCTTGGTCCCTGCCCAAGCCCTCAACAGGCTCCGAGGCCATCCCAAAGGCAACTGCACCTAAAGGCACGCGACAATTCGACACACGGTGGTTTCCCAGCTGGCACATCAGCCCCTGCCCGCACAGCAGGTACCAGCAGTGCTGTAGGTAGGCTTTGCCAGCTCTGCACAGGGCTCACGTGGGCACTGACGCGTCTCTTGGTGCAAGGAAAGAGGGCAGCCGACCACTGCTTTATGATGTGCAGCACAGGGCAGGCTCCAGCCCGACCCAAGCATCGCCCACAGCCCAGCAAAGCTCTGGGGGCACCTGGCAGGGCCGTGCTGCGGGCAAATGCCGGTAAGGCTCAGTGGTGCGTCAGCCCTTCTGGCATCAGCCTCCCCAACTCATTCAAATATTTCCCTTTTTTTTTTTTTTTTCCTCTTCTAATTTAATGTTCCCTATAATTCATCTGTCCCAAAAGATAATCAATAGAGGCCGTAATGAAAATTTGAGCCATATTTTATGATCCGCTGCAGGAGAAAGGGCCACATCAGCAGGACGAGCCTTGGCTCCCAGCAGCGTTCCATGCCTGCCCGCCAG